ACAACAAAACGAGCGGCTCGGCTGTGGGAGGTGTGCTATTATTTGTTTTGAGTGTTTCGATTTACCATGGTAAAATTATTAGCTAAAAATGTGTGCCACTCTAAATTAGCTAAATTATCAATGAAAGATGCGTGTAATTAATTTATTGATTAGATCGTAGGCCTTCTGATTTAGGTTTTTTGACCTTCACGTCAACCAAATAGGGGTGGGCAATATAAACGATATAAAATTGGGTAATGATAGTTTTTGGCTATATCGCAATACCGCGATAACACATGACTTCACTAAGATGTGCACCTTGCAGACATTGGGACAACAGAATGGCAGTGACTGCAAGCATGGAGTGGGCGGAGGAGGAGGCCTAAAGTGGCATATATTTGCCACATGAGGATATTTAAAAGCATGTCATTTTGACATATATAAATAGAGGATAAAATATATCGCAATATATATCGTTACCGCACATGCTTTAGATTATATCGCAATATAGATTTGAGGCCATATCGCCCAGCCCTACAACCAAATATCATTATTTTGGGTTTTTCACCCCAACAACCTCTATAGCTTGTGCCAGCAGGCAAATTCCTTTTTCAACTTATTCAGGAACTTTCTAGTTTAATGTTATGCTTACATCTGGAATTTCTTCACTGGGCCTATAAGTCACAAACACCTGAGCTCATTTCTATGAAGAATGTAATTTATAAAGTGGGAATTGTGTGCATATGTGCTCAACCAGTGTTTTATAGGTTGGAAAATGTATTTGTGTGGGTAAAAAAACTTTTAGCTGAGCTTAAATAAGAGTTTTAGTAAGGATTATTTGCAAAGTTTTATAAATGAGGTCCCAATTCTGTAGTTAAGCAGGAAGTCTTAGGGACAATATTAGGGATGTAAGAAAATGTCGATTATGGCAAAATATCGTGATATTTTCCCCAGCGATATTATATCGATATTCAAAAGCTGTGTATCGAAAATATCGATATCGCAATATATCGTGATATTTTTCTTGCAAAAATGTATCGATAATCAAAAGTCGTGTATCTAATTTTTGGAAGAATTTACATGGAAACATTTGTGTAATTTCTTTTCTTGTGGTGCAATTCAAATGCCAACCACTAGTTGGCAGCAGTGTGTAATGGGTTTTGTTTCCACCATTCAAATGTAAATCCCTCTGTTATGGTTAAACATGTTAAGTATCAGTTTGGACTGTTTATTGAATTTTCCTATAATAAATTTAGTCTAAAAAATCGCCAATATCATCTGACTGAATGTATTGCAACATATCGTGATATATTGTATCGTCTCCCCTGTATCGTAATACGTATTGTATTGCCAGAATTTCACCAATACACATCCCTAGACAATATATAAACTGTACATATACATATACACACACTAGGGCTGGGCGATATGGCCTAAAATCATCATCCCGACATATTGAGGATTTCACCTCGATAACGATAAATGGACGATAACTACAGGTGTGCGCGGAAACAAAAGTTGTGCACTAGATGGGGCTGTCACGTGTATTACGCTGTCACATTTTCACGTGAGTCAAGGTGGTACAGCTTCTTAAAGGGACACGAACGTTGCCAACCTACACACATCTTTTCCTTTATTATTATCAAATTTATAGACATGGGAAAAATAATCTCGATAAGAGTCAGAAATTTTGATAATGATAAATTTTCGATTTATTGCCCAGCCCTAACACACACACACACACACACACACACACACACACACACACACACACATATATATATATATATATATATATATATATATATATATATATATATATATATATATATATATATATATAAACAAATAAACCAAAAACTAAAATGTGTCTCTACATTGTGTGTGTGTGTGTGTGTGTGTAGGCGGGCAGCAATCTAACAGAAGTAAATACTGGGAGAAAGTTATGTTTTGTGATCCTTAGATGATAACATGACCTGAACAAACTGCCAGACTATAGTCATGGAAAAGGTTTCCTTAGCTCTGACATGAAGTCTTCATTCCAGTGAATGAGCAGGATTAATACATCTGGATTAGACCACAACGGCCAGTTGTCTAACAGAGTAAATAACAGATGAAGGTTCTCCCTGTGAGTGGGGAGATGGTATGTTCCGATGTGAGGCTTCGGCAGCTTTAGAACGGCAACAAGCGAAGGTGACATTCATCCCTCTGTGTGCTTTTAAACATCACAGACCCGCTCTAGAAATAGAACTCATTGGTGTCAAATGTGGCATGTTCTTCCATGCCAGGACAACCCCCCTCCAACCAGCACACACATGTTGGTTTGTGGTCTACTTCTGCTTCAGCGTCATGAGGCTCAGCCCAGCTTGAAGTGCACATGGTACATGTACACTGGATGCGTTTCTATGGAGGCCCATTAAAATTTTAATTAGAGCTGCACGATATTAGGAAAACCTGCGATATTCGATAACAGTGCTTAATACTGCGATATCGATATTACTCACGATAAATGAACAAATACTAAAGTATGCAGTGTTGATGTCGTCTGGCGTGTGACGTCTGCTCTGGGGTCAAAGCAAACAAAAACTAATGCATGAATTCCATTACAACATAACATTTTTATTGCAAACATATGCAGCTGCACCTGCTACTGTATTAGCAGCAAAACAACAAACTGCATGCACGCAGTTTCTCAGTGACTTTTAAACATCACCTCCACCATAAAACTTTTTCTGATGCTCCAAATACAGAAAAACATCCCTTACCAGGGTTTTTGAATAAATAAAAAAATCAGAAAATAAGTTTAAATGTTAAATAATAGTTAACATCACTTAAATGCAACAGCAAATTCTCTCATTGCTACTGAGCATTTTCTCCACATATGTGGTATGATATAAGGCTGTTGCTGTAATTGGGAAGTGAACTGTGCTGGGCCAAACTAGGAGAATATTAGGATTTTCTGAGGGAAAGAGAAAAACAATTGTCTACCTTTCAGAAGAGGAACTGGCAAAAAAAACTACATGAAAAATATGTGAAAACGTTTGTTTTTAACCCCAAATTGAACAAGTTTACCTAGATCTTAAAAAGCAGCTCAGATGATGAAACTGCAACTATGATTCTGATAACAAGCTAACAAATTGAACTAGCTCCTCTAAGATAACCGGCTAGCAGAGCTTCTGACTGACAGTTTATGTGCAGCAGCAAATCAACTATCCTGATTAACAAGGTTATAAAAGCTCATAAATGAAAAATCACTTTGATGGTTGGGGGAACTTTTCCAGGCCCTCTTTAGCAGGGTGGGACTGGGAGGAGAGTGCTGTAGCCTTTTAGCTGGAAGCTAACCGGAGCCTGGGGCTAACACTAGCGACATGAAGGTGGGTTGGTTCACCGGCACGTGTCGGAGTCAGCCCGGTAAAAATGATTAACGACACCGAGCGGACTCGCGTTCACGTTTGAAAGCAGCGCTGATTCCAGAAACCTCAGCACAAAGTGTGTTCGTTAATCTGAGCCAGCATGACGAACAAGGGAACAGCGCCGCTAACTCAGTTCGGGTGTTGCTTTCCATCCTAAGCGTCTACGTAGGGGGCGGGCGTGTTACGTGAACGGACCCATCTGATTGGCCGCATATCAAAAGGACTACATTTGATTGGTCAAATAATACTTCCGCGTAAAAAACAGAGCTGGTTTACAAAAAGTTGATGTATGACACGGATGGAAATGTTTGAACCAAACATTTATTGCCATTTTTGCCGTGTTTTGCGATGGGCCTGTCGCACGTCCTGTTATCGCGATGACGATAATTTTTCAATATATTGTGCAGCCCTAATTTAAATGCTTCATTTATGCTCTCTCGCCTGAACAGGTGCATCTAGAGTTTTCCGACTGATAACATTCGAAACACTGAAAACGAAGTTGGAGGCAGGAGCCGGTGATTTGTCCTTGATCAGTGATGGATGGCAGCTGGCAACCACTGCCAGCATAGCATCCAGATGTCCACGGTGGCACCCCCCACCCCCAACGGGATAAAATGTTTTAGGTTGAAAACACATAAAACTATTCGCTTGTGTGGAGTAATGACTAAAACAGGAATCCAGCAGAAGTTAACGAAGAAGCACCCCAAATGCTCGTGGCGGATTTAGAACACCTGCAACGCCTCAGTTTGGTTTCTGTAAGTCAGACGAGTGAAACATGTTTGGGAGGAGCTGAACTGCTGCATCTGTTTACAAACTCACCACAGGTCCCACATTAAACTAGAGCCACACAAACCAACTCAGATGTTTTATTGTCCCCCACATTAGTTGCCACCAGTCAGACGCTGTGGGATACTGGGTTTATTACTGTGTCTCCGTCTTCCTGAACTCACCAGCCCAGTGAAGCAGCAGCATTAATATTACAGCAGCAGAGAAAACCCAGCTCCTGTCCTGAGATAAGACTGGAGGAGTAAACCAGCAGTGGAACACCTCCTAGAACTGGATCCTTCAGCTAAAACCAGGAGCAGGAAGCACAGGTCAGACCAGAAGAGCTACCCGGATCAGGTGCTGTCTGCAGCCCAGAACCTGCACCCCAGCACTGCTGGTGAGCACATGGGCCCGGTCCTGCAGGACCGGTTCTGCACCTGTCTCCTCCAGCTGCAGCTTCTCCTCACAGCAACACAGCAGCAGCACAGCAGGCTACGGTTCGGAGACGGTACCGACCCACGTTTCACGAGCCTTGTTTACCACATCCAGTCCGACAGTGATGCGCACGTCGCTAACAGCCGGACCCGGTTCTGGTTCTGTGAAGTCGAAGGAATGGCCGAACCAGTGAGCACTGATGTACTGAGAAATCAGAGCTGGTTCCAAACTGGTCACGCGCGAGACCAGCCGTATTTAGCCAGAACTTAAAAAAAAACAGGAGGAAATAAACGTGTTTTCTCAGATTTTTGTATTGTTGCTGCTCATTTAACTGCAATGTTGCAAATGAAACTGTCAGACATGTTATAACATCATAAGAGATGAATAATGAAATTGTTCCGGACTTACCCGGCTTCTGTAGCGGAGCGAACCGACCGCACTACCCGCTGCGGGTCTTCCCTCTGCCTGCTCGGACCCTGGTCAGCAGCTAGCGGACCAATGGCTGACTGTTTCCCTAAAGAGAGACGTCTCAGACGGACTGTAAAACGAAATGTCGATACCACCTCCTTCCAGCAGCAATGCATTCATCACACATCAGCTGGACCGAACCGCAGTGCTGGGACAGTAGGGGGAGACTACTCCTAATAAATACCGCCTCTGAGCATCAAAATACCGCATTTCATCGCGAGAAATTGTGTGAATCTCGGTGCCAAATCTCTGCCCACTGCAGTGGGTCCGCCATATTGGGAGGTGCCGCCAACCAGCAAAAACACTGAAGTCAAGTATTTTACTTTTTTTTACAAGGTTGCATTTGTAGAATATATAAACATCTTGTTTCTTGTTATTTATAAGCTGTTAAATACTCAAAAAGACAGATTTTCAGCATGAGGCAATGACAAAAGTTACTTAAATCATGGAAGTTTATATTATATTTATAGCTAGTCATTTTGAACAAGGGTGACAACAAATTGCGTCCCTGGAAAAATACAAACTATAATCTGATATCAGTGTGCATTTCCAGAAGTGCACTGTAAAATCATAGGCTTTTGGAGGAACACAGGTACAACACAGGTTGGGTCTGATCACATTCTTTTTTCACTCCAAGGGAATTGGCGCTACGCATCACAACACACAAAAGGAACCCAAATCATGTCTCCTCCCACATATGTCACATCCTGTCTTCCGGGTGTGAGTGGAGCCTCCTGGTGGTCTGCCACCCCCCTCCCAGAACACTCAGAACAGCCCCTAAAGCCTGCCACACACGAGAGCAAACTGCTGAGCAAACGGCCTCGAATGTGTGCGCCTGATTTTCACTGATGGGCCATTCCCATCTGTACCGGGTCGGCCCGGGCCGGGTAGCGTAGGTTGTTGACATATCTGGGTGGCCTGGTATGTTTCCGGGCCAACCAAGGCTCATTCTCAGCCCTCTTCTCGAGGGGGTCTGCTTCAGGCCGACCAGGGCCAACACACCCACTGCTGACAGCAAATTCACACCTTCCATTAGAGCAAGCCTCTGATTGGTGGGTAGAATCAGCCCACATGGTCTTAAGGCAAGGATGTGTGGAATCAACCGGGCCAGGCTGGGGCCGACTGGGGCTACCCGGCCCGGGCCGACCCAGTACAGATGGGAATGGCCCATGAGTTTTCCGCCTCATGAGGCGCCGAGGTGCATATCTGACCGGTTTGATATTTTCTGCCTCACAGGGGGTAGAAACTCACTGTGCGCGCACTACGTGAGCTGCTGGCTGAGCTGAAATATTCTAGTGGCCAATCAAAGAGCGTTCTCCACTCACATGACCCCAAGATGGCAGCCCCCCGTCCGCATGTCAGAAAATAAACAAAACGGAGACAGAGCTGGATCATGAATTCTTCGACGGGGTAAAATGACCGTCATAAATTGGTTGCAGGGGTGTTTGTTGGACATCATGGCAAATGAAAACAAAACCTTAACTTGCTAAATCCCGAGGGACAAATAAGTGGGGCAACCCATGGTGAATCTACCCCGGGACCAAAACGGAAGGTCCGTTGGCCCAACTGCAGAACCAGGGACTCAGGGGAAAAATGACAAATAGTAGGTGAAATCACCAAATAGTTCCCGAGCGTCGCCGTGTCTGCAGCTCACTGCTCCCCACAGGAATGGGTCAAATGCAGAGGACAATTTTCACCATGCTAGTGTGCGTGGCAACCTCGGGACTTCAATTTTTAATGAATGGGGAAAGGTTTAAATGGTGCCCCCTAGTGTGATAGTGGACCTTGGCACATTGGCATGTTATGCATTCCTGAACAAACTTGCGCAAACCAGGCCACACAAACTTGGACCCAACCAACTTTACTGAGGCATTAACCCCTGGGTGGGACAGTGAATGCAGGGAGTCAAAAACGCAGCATTGCCACAAAGCCAGGACCAGGGGGCGGGGGTGACCTGTGGAGAAATCTCAGATCAAGGCTGGCTGGCCATCTTGCATCTGGCTCTCACCTAGCTTCAAACCCGTAGATGTAGTCTGGAGTGCCTGAATGTCAGCGTTGGTGTGCTGGTCAACTGCCATAGCTGAAAAGTCGATGCTGAATAAAACCAGTCAACATGCATGTAAGGCAGCCTGCCACAGTGTTGGAATGCCTGCCACGTGCAGGATGTCTGTCATGAACTCTGAAATAGCAGCGCAATATCGCTGCTGACCACGGTTCTGTTGTTTAGGACATTGCAAAAACCAAAGGTTTGTGATCAACATACGCAGTGAACTAGTCCTAATCCTGATTCTCACCCAGTGTAACCCTTCTGTCGTTTTGAATGTCACGAGGTTTGTACTGTGCCCAGTGTGTACTTATGTTCTCAAGTGTGTTGTGTGTGCATGTGGGTATGTGTGTGCGCGTGTGCGAGTGTCACTGGGTTGGCGGGGGTTAATTGTCAATGACACTTGTGGGATATATGGGGTCTTTTTAATCTGTAACGCACTTTGAGTTACATTTTCTGTATGAAAAGCACTTTATAAATAAAGTTTGATTGATTGATTGACTGAAGTGCTGTGCTTAAAGCAGCAGTCTGAAGATTTCCCCTTTCAGAAATTATGTATGATTTTTCAGAAATCCGTAAAAGTGATTGTTTTATCATGTACTGTGATATAGTGTAAGCAGCACGTCATAATTTTTAAGCTAAGCACACCCCCTGCCCCGTAGAGCTCCGTGCAATAGGAAGCTGAGCGCTGACTCGAACTAACCAATAGTGTTACACTAGAAGCACCTCGGCTGATGCAGAATGGATGAATTTTTCACGGAGAAGTAAGTCTTTGAAACATAATTATGAAAACACAACAGAACATTCCAGACCAGGAAGCAGAGTCGTAGTTTAACCCACCCCTCTGCAGCTTCTGTACTGTTACTCACCCACTATCCCATAGAGACATTGTCCTGCCCACGGCCAAAATCACACAGATTAAATATCAGGCTTAATAAAGCAAATCATGGAAATCTCATAAATATTAGAACAAATTCAACTGAGCAGAAAACTAGAAAAATTAAATGTGGTTTATTGAACATTAGATCCATTTTTTCTAAGACTTTGTTAGTTAATGAGTTGATTTGTGATAATCAGATCTCTTTGCTCTCTCTCACAGAATCCTGGCTGCAGCAAGAGGACTATGTTAGCTTAAACGAGTCGACTCCTTCAAATTATTTAAATCATCATATTGCTCGAAGTACAGGGCGAGGAGGAGGAGTAGCAACCATTTATCATTCGGACTTATTAATCAGTCCCTTACAGATTAATAGTTACAGTTCATTTGAACATCTTATTCTTAGTTTTCCTAATCCAGATTGCAAAACTGTAAAACCACTCTTGTTTGTAGTTTTATATCGTCCACCAGGCCCTTACTCTGAGTTTTTGGATCAGATCTCTGATTTTTTATCTTATTTGGTGCTAAATACTGATAAGGTCATTGTAGTGGGGGATTTTAACATTCATGTGGACATTGAAAATGATAGCCTCAATGTAGCCTTTAGTAATATCTTAGACTCAATTGGTTTTACTCAAAGAATACATAGCTCCACCCACTCCTGCCATCATACATTGGACCTTGTTCTGACTTATGGTATTGAGTGTGAGGAAATAACAATCTTTCCACATAATCCAGTCCTCTCGGACCACTTTCTGATAACCTTTGAGTTTTTTATAACTGAGTTCTCGAGACATGAAAAAAAATTTCATTATAGTCGGTCTCTATCTGACAACGCAGTTGCGTCTTTTAAATCAACTGTTCCATCTTTACTGTCCTCAGCATCTCAGAGGCATGTAGCAGAAGGCAAAATTTTCAGTTCTAGCCCCTCACAAATTGATACCTTAGTTCATCATGTTACTTCCTCTTTACGTGTGGCATTAGATGATGTTGCCCCTTTAAAAAAGAAGGTAATTAGGGACAGGAAGTTGGCTCCCTGGTTTAACTCTCATCTACGAGCCTTAAAACAAAACTCTAGGAAATTGGAGAGAACATGGCGCTCTACGTACCATGAGGAGGCCTACCTGTCCTGGAAAAATAGTCTTGTGCTTTATAAAAATAAGCTTCAACAAACTAGAACTGCTTATTTTTCAGCATTAATTGAGGAGAATAAGCATAATCCTAAATTTCTTTTCAGTACAGTTGCTAAACTTACGCGGAATCATAGCTCTGAGCCATCTATTCCCTTAGCCCTCAGCAGCAATGACTTCATGGGATTTTTTACAAGTAAAATTAATTCTATTAGAAACAACAGGACTCTAGAAGGTGCTATGTCAAATACAGGCCATTTACGTCACACTGTCACGTGGACTCACCCATCTTAACTTACGATGAAGAAGGCTGTTGCTGGTTTAGCATCTAGGAAACAGCAGAGAACCTCTAGTAATAAAGACTAGCTGTTCTTTGTGGGAATAAAACATCAACTTTTTAAAGCAATTGGAGTCAGTGGTAGAGTCACGTTGCTGTTAGCCGATCCAAGGTGAGATGCCAAAATATCAGGAAATAAGACACCAAGTTCTGTCATCTGAAGTTACTTTCTCCTCCAGCTGAATTTTACATCCTCAAACAGCTGCCCCTTCCACAGCATCCACGCCTAATAAAGACCACTGCAAATGCATATGAGTAAAGCTGACCTTAAACCCTTTACAGGGCACTCACTGAAGTAGTTAGTTAAAATTTCAACCCCAGGGTGTTATTGTGGTAAATAACTAAAGCGTATTTCTGTTGGTAAAATTTTCAAAAATATTTTTTTTTTCATACAGAAAATCAGAGAAAACAAAGTGATCAAATATGGACGTTGGCCCTGTTCTGGTGAAAGAAATCTCGTGATAAAATAACACAAACAAGTTCAATAAACATTATTATGAATAATACAGATGATTGTAAGACACGTTAGAATAATTTAGCTCATTTAAGAACATTACATCACTGTTGAATAATACAGACTATATCACAATTATTAAACATTCTAGTTTTATAAAAACACATTACTGTAGAATATTTTTAAAGGCCATTAAACAATAGGTATCATTTCTGATCAAATGTAAATTATTATATTATTTTAGAATATTTTATATTTGAGGATCTGCCTCAATGTCATCTACCTCCTGTTCATCATCATCACTGATGGTGAGATTGGTTGGCACGATAACTGT